AGTAGGGAATATACTGGACCTCTGCAGAGAGACCACTGCTTCCACACCAGTGCTTCCGATGACCGCAATGCAGAAGGGGCAGTGTGCGCGTGCGCACACCGGCCTGTTCCACAGCTACCGAACGAGCAGGCTAGAAACCCGCCGAGAATCGTACGATTCTCGGCGGGGTTTCGAGCATGCTGGTTCGACAAAAGACGTGCGACCATACAGTAGAAACGGTCGCACGTCTTCGTTCACACCGCTCGATTCTCGTACGATCGCGGGATTTCCCGCGATTCTCGTACGAGAATCGAGCAGGGTATGGGCACCTTAAGACCTTGAACACTTTTTTTGGTTTGAAACACTAGGAATGCACTTAGCTGACTTATAATAAAGTAATTTATTCTGTAGAAAAATATTACTGAGAACCAAAATGTATTATAACCTGCTGACTCTGCTCTTCGTTTTCCTCGTATTCTTTGTTGAGTGGTGCAGCCTACAATAAAATAATATTAATAATGACATGGCAGTTGTAACGTGCAGTACAACTAATAAAAGACTGAAAACAACACAAATGATGACTGTGTTCCCTTATTTAAATCACGGCAGTATTGTTTTTGTCAGTTTGATATAGTACACCAAATAGTACCTAAAAATCGTATTTATTATGGCATATCTGAGATTTTCCCCAGTAAGATACCTGTTAACAGATCTCAATTTCTACTGTAATAAGTTTTGATGGAAGGTATAGAATAATGAATAAGCAAACATTGTTGGAGGTGTAAACAATAAACACATAAATGTATTCTTTACCACCGATATCCTGTTTCCAAAATGACAGAATTTCAGCCGCTACATAGATGCAGTTTACATTTTAGGAACCTTTTGGCGTTAAATTACCATTTCTTGCCATAATAAAAAACACTGCACTGAACTCCATCATGCCACTTACATGCTAGGCGACATGTGACTTGTTTTCTTGCTACCAGGTGCACTGTGGGCGTTTGATTACTCGCTGTCTGGAGCAATTTCTACATTTTTGCACACACATGATAAAAATCAGAAAGCAGAGGCGCTATAGAATAAAACAATTGCTTGTTACAATTTTGTATGTCACACGATATTTGCGCAAATGTGTATCAAACCAGTATGTTTAGGATAAAATACATTAAAATGACATTTAGAGCAGAGAAACAGAATATATAGTACCCAATGTTTTAGTAAAATATAAAAGACGGGGTCACGTCGGGTAAATAGATACCAAACATGCCAAGCAAACACTCCCCGATGCCATACAAGCGGGTCTGATGTGAAGGATAGACTGAGGACTCTGATGTGAAGGGGGGACTGAGGCCTCTGGTGTGAAGGGGGGGACTGAGGACTCTGAAGTGAAGGGTAGACTGAGGACTCTGAAGTGAAGGGTAGACTGAGGACTCTGAAGTGAAGGGTAGACTGAGGACTCTGAAGTGAAGGGTAGACTGAGGACTCTGAAGTGAAGGGTAGACTGAGGACTCTGAAGTGAAGGGTAGACTGAGGACTCTGAAGTGAAGGGTAGACTGAGGACTCTGAAGTGAAGGGTAGACTGAGGACTCTGAAGTGAAGGGTAGACTGAGGACTCTGAAGTGAAGGGTAGACTGAGGACTCTGAAGTGAAGGGTAGACTGAGGACTCTGAAGTGAAGGGTAGACTGAGGACTCTGAAGTGAAGGGTAGACTGAGGACTCTGAAGTGAAGGGTAGACTGAGGACTCTGAAGTGAAGGGTAGACTGAGGACTCTGAAGTGAAGGGTAGACTGAGGACTCTGAAGTGAAGGGTAGACTGAGGACTCTGAAGTGAAGGGTAGACTGAGGACTCTGAAGTGAAGGGTAGACTGAGGACTCTGAAGTGAAGGGTAGACTGAGGACTCTGAAGTGAAGGGTAGACTGAGGACTCTGAAGTGAAGGGTAGACTGAGGACTCTGAAGTGAAGGGTAGACTGAGGACTCTGAAGTGAAGGGTAGACTGAGGACTCTGAAGTGAAGGGTAGACTGAGGACTCTGAAGTGAAGGGTAGACTGAGGACTCTGAAGTGAAGGGTAGACTGAGGACTCTGAAGTGAAGGGTAGACTGAGGACTCTGAAGTGAAGGGTAGACTGAGGACTCTGAAGTGAAGGGTAGACTGAGGACTCTGAAGTGAAGGGTAGACTGAGGACTCTGAAGTGAAGGGTAGACTGAGGACTCTGAAGTGAAGGGTAGACTGAGGACTCTGAAGTGAAGGGTAGACTGAGGACTCTGAAGTGAAGGGTAGACTGAGGACTCTGAAGTGAAGGGTAGACTGAGGACTCTGAAGTGAAGGGTAGACTGAGGACTCTGAAGTGAAGGGTAGACTGAGGACTCTGAAGTGAAGGGTAGACTGAGGACTCTGAAGTGAAGGGTAGACTGAGGACTCTGAAGTGAAGGGTAGACTGAGGACTCTGAAGTGAAGGGTAGACTGAGGACTCTGAAGTGAAGGGTAGACTGAGGACTCTGAAGTGAAGGGTAGACTGAGGACTCTGAAGTGAAGGGTAGACTGAGGACTCTGAAGTGAAGGGTAGACTGAGGACTCTGAAGTGAAGGGTAGACTGAGGACTCTGAAGTGAAGGGTAGACTGAGGACTCTGAAGTGAAGGGTAGACTGAGGACTCTGAAGTGAAGGGTAGACTGAGGACTCTGAAGTGAAGGGTAGACTGAGGACTCTGAAGTGAAGGGTAGACTGAGGACTCTGAAGTGAAGGGTAGACTGAGGACTCTGAAGTGAAGGGTAGACTGAGGACTCTGAAGTGAAGGGTAGACTGAGGACTCTGAAGTGAAGGGTAGACTGAGGACTCTGAAGTGAAGGGTAGACTGAGGACTCTGAAGTGAAGGGTAGACTGAGGACTCTGAAGTGAAGGGTAGACTGAGGACTCTGAAGTGAAGGGTAGACTGAGGACTCTGAAGTGAAGGGTAGACTGAGGACTCTGATGTGAAGGGGGGGACCACGGACACTGATGTGAAGGGGGGGACCACGGACACTGATGTGATGGGGGGACCACGGACACTGATGTGAAGGGGGAAAAGTTTGTTCAAAATAAACACTTTACGAAAGTAAATTTAAAAAATACTTTTATTTAGGGTTGTATTGAGAACTACAAGAGCATTGGAGTCTAGAGATGGAAACAAGGACGGATCTGGTTCCCAATGACGGTCTGTTTAGAGCTCTGTATCTGTACTACGCTGATCGAACATGGAGGCATTGGGACAGTAAGCCTGTATCTGTGTACCTGGGTGGTACAACGCGTGAACAGCATTCACTGTACAGCACGAAAACAAATCTCACGTCAGTGATTTAATTCATAAAAGAGCTTCGTCTGCCCTACTAAACACATGACAATCATCACTCGGAGCACTCACGCTTACCTCCATGGGCGCCGCCATCTTTAACGAAAGACTGAAAGGTCCTGGCAGCGCTGTAGAGCACAGAAAAAAAAAACCTGCACCCAAGCGATACATTTGTATAATGATATTAAATGTCTAAAATAGTGCTTCTTATTTGTGTAGCGTGTATAAACACGGTTTTTCGAAAAACCGCGTAGCATAGTTTTTGTTTCAGTTTTAATATTTGTTGGGACGACTGCAAGGACCTTACGGTATGCAATTAGGGCCAATTGTTCATGAAGCGTTTATAAAAGTCTGAGCATAGGTTAAGCTAAATTAGGAATGTTCAGTTTTATTGTTTTATTTGCACGACAGTGTATTGTAGAATTACATAATTTGTAAAATTCTGCTGTGTTTGCGATTTTAGAAAGGATTGCAGTGATGTCAGTTCAACTAAATATTATTGGTGGACCTAGGGTTGCTACCTTTTCTTCAAGTGAAACCCGAACACTTTTTTGGGAGAGTGAGTGGTGGCTTATTCATATGTAATAGCGCCACCCATTCATATGTAACTATCACAATTGAGACTATTTTAGGGGGGAGCCAGTAGCCCCTATCTTAATTTTGGTTGCATATGTCTGCCTGACATCTTGTGTCCGGGTTTCTGCTGCCATAAAACCTGGACACAGCATTCAAAACCCGAACTGTCTGGGTGAATCCTGGACAGGTGGCAACCCTAGGTGGACCACCTAGAGCTAGGGTTGCCACCTCTTCTTCAAGTGAAACTCGAACACTCTAGCGCTGCATGTGGCAAATTTTTTCTTCTTCTGGACACTATAGAGGAGAGAGTGAGGAGAAGAAGCCAGGAGAAAGAGCAAGAAGAGACAGCCAGTGGAAGGAGTAAGGAGACCATTTATAGAGGACTACAAATCCCAGCAATACATGATACAGCAATACAAAATAATATGAAGCTACATACTCAGTGTTGTTCCGGGGTGGTTGTCTCCAGGGTCTCAAGTGGCCTGTGTGGGCTCTCAGGTGGCAGTGCAGACTCTCAGGTGAGTTATGCAGGCTCTCAGGTGGCTGTGTGGGAAGTGCGGTGGTCTCACCTGGGGTCTGGAGGCAGGCAGCGTGCTATCAGGAAGGAGGCGGAGGAGGTTTAGGAGATGTGCATGCTGGCCTGTGCCTGTTCACAGGTGCCCGGCTCACGGGAAGATGATTCAGGCAGATGCAGCTGCCTCAGGTCCCACGCTTGCTGAGGACCTCAGGTAGCCGCATTTGTCAAAAAATTTTAAGTGCTGGTATCGGCACTTAGTGTCTTATGTCTGGGTGTCAGCTGGCCTGACACCCAGACACAAGACTCAAAAAACATGGATAGATTTTTTTTTTTTTTTGGTCTCTTATTTCCATTCTTCTTTGTGTGGTGAAGGAGAGAGATCCTCTCTAGAACAGTTGTTACCTGAACAGGTGTTCCCACTGGAGGATTTCCTCTCATCTCCTATTTCACTGGACCACAAGATAAATAGAGAGTGCAGAGGGTCCTCCTTCATGAATTCATCACCAGGACCCTGGGGTTACCTCTGTCTGCCTGAAATTGTGACATCTTGTGTCCGGGGCTCAGCTGGCCTGAAAACCGGACACAAGATTCCAAACCCGAACAGTCCGGGTGAATCCCGGACAGGTGGCAACCCTACCTAGAGCCGCCATTCACACCTAGGCGTTTTGTCACTCACAAAACACTCAGCACATGAATTCCCATCCATTTTAACACCCGAGTGTTGTGTTGCAAGCCACAAAACACCTGTTGCTTGTAAAAGTACATGAGCTTTTTTGGGCAGTTTGCAGCACGTTTGGCCTCCACACAAGCGTTTTGCACATTTCTGTGCACGTTTTTTGTGCGCAATGTCTTCCAATCTGTCAGCTAAGAAGCCTGTCTAATGTGCAAAAACAGGCAATACACTTTCAAAGTGCACTTTTTCTTTTTGCCCCCTACCTCTCCACGGAAGGATACCTACCTAGATCCGACCCCTATGGCCTCCTGTGTATGTTTACATCCCGCTATGCCTTCTATCGAGAGAGGACTTTGATGGGGGAAATAAACATACACTATATTGCCAAAAGTATCGGGACACCTGCCTTTCCACGCACATGAACTTTAATGACATCCCAGTCTAAGGCTGGGTCCACATCTAGGCGTACGGAATATGCGCGTTTGCTGCACGTTTCGTGCCGCGATTTGCAGTAAAAGAAACTCGTGTTTCCAAGGGCTATCCCGCTGAATCCTAATGGATATGCACAACAAATACGCCCCAAAGAAGCTCCTTTCCTTCTTTGGGCGTAGGGCGTTTTACAGCGCGTAGGAACGCGCTGTAAAATGCCCAGGTGTGAACCAGGCCTAAAGGTGCCCAAACACTGCACGATTCTCGTACGATTTCCGGGATTTCCCGCGATTCTCGTACGAGAATCGCGGGAAATCCCGGAAATCGTACGAGAATCGTGCAGTGTATGGAAGGCGTTCAACCGTTTCTAATGTACGGTCGCACGACTTTTGTATATCGAGCATGTTGGAAAACCAGCCGAGAATCGTACGATTTTCGGCTGGTTTTTAACATGATCGAGAGATCACTGCCGAACGGGCTGGTGTGCACACGCGCACACTGCCCGTTCAGCATTGCAGTCATGGGAAGCCCGCCCCTCAGGGGGGCAGACTAGCGATGATCGCAGGTACGATCTGCCTGTCCAAGATGGGCAGATCGTAAGTTTTTTTAATTACTTTACTGTAAAGTGTATGGGCACCTTTAGACCATAGGGTTCAATATTGAGTTGGCCCACCCTTTGCAGCTATAACAGCTTCACCTCTTCTGGGAAGGCACCTTGCTTTGTGCACTGGTGCGCAGTCATGTTAGAACAGGAAGGGGCCATCCCCAAACTGTTCCCACAAAGTTGGGAGCATGAAATTGTCCAAAATGTCTTAATATGCTGATGCCTTAAGAGTTCCCTTCACTGGAACTAAGGGGCCAAGCCCAACTCCTGAAAAACAACCCCACACCATAATCCCCCCTCCACCAAACTTTACACTTGGCACAATGCAGTCAGGCAAGTACCGTTCTCCTGGCAACCGCCAAACCCAGACACGTTCATCAGATTGCCAGACAGAGAAGAGTGATTTGTCACTCCAGAGAACACGTCTCCACTTCTCTAGAGTCCAGTCGCGGCGTGCTTTACGCCACTGCATCCGACGCTTTGCATTGCACTTGGTGATGTAAGGCTTGGATGGAGCTGCTCGGCCATGGAAACCCATTCCATTAAGTTCTCTATGAACTGTTGTTGTGCCAATCTGAAGGCCACACGAAGTTTGGAGGTCTGCAGCTATTGACTCTGCAGACAGTTGGCGACTTCTGTGCACTGTGCGCTTCAGCATGCGCTGACACCACTCTTTAATTTTACGTGGCCTACCACTTCATAGCGGAGTTGCTATTGTTCCACTTTGTTATAATACCACTAACAGTTGACCGTGGAATATTTAGTAGCAAGGAAATTTCACAGATGGACTTATTGCACAGGTGGCAACCTATCACGGTACCACGCTTGGAGTCACTGAACTCCTGAGAGCAACCCATTCTTTCACAAATGTTTGTTGAAGTAGTCTGCATGCCTAGGTGCTAGATTTTATACACCTGTGGCCATGGAGGTGATTGGAGCACCAAAATCCAATGATTTGGAGGGGTGTCCCAATACTTTTGGCAATATAGAGTACAAAGGAGGCGACAGACATCAGATTACGGTAAGTATATGTCTGTGGAGGGGGCAAAAAGATGAATTGCATTTTGTTTGAAAGTGCAGTCTTTAATGCATTTACTGGCATTAACACAAATTAGGATTTCAGGCTAACTCTCCTCTGCAGCACATCCAATTAATTTATTTTAAAAAGTCAGTATGAATATTTTTGTTAATCAGCTTTTATAAAAAAACAATACCTGGTGATCCTGCCATGAAGATCCTTATTTAGGCACTTCCTGTTATAGGGTGACAGTGACAAAGCACGGTCTTCCAACTCTGCTCTACTATTGCTTCTAATGTGGTTGTTTCAAAACGCATCACACATGCATGGCCTGCTGTTGTCACTATTAGAAAAGTCACCCTGAGCAATGCCATGCAGCCATGGAGCAGCCACTGGAGCAAGTACATGTAAGCAGAAAGGACTTTTTGAAAAAGAAAACATGGCAATTATGTATGCTGCACAGAGCATGCTGCAAGGGTTTACATCTACTTAAATGATTAATTCTTCCTGAGCAACAAATGGTCAAAATTGGTTTGGGCCAAGTGGTCAGTGGGCTGTACCTCATGATTACATTGGTGTGCAGTGATTACTGGTTTGTGCCCCTCTTTCATTGGTGACAAGTGGAGCCTCATTGTTTACTTACCTAAATTAAAAGGTACAAAGTTTCCATTTTACAACCCTGGATTTTGCAGTCACATCAGGCCAGAAATATGCAGGCAGCGGCAGTCGGGTAATCACTCCGCACAGCACACACTTTGACTGTGAGTGACACACTTTGCTAAATTATTCTCTCTAGACCCAAGGCACATGCCCAGATCTAGTATTGCGGATGGCACTTGGGTACATATTATAGTAGTATTTGCAATATTTTAACACATTTACTGAGAAAGGAGCTCATGCAGGGCAAGGTAACAGTTTACTTTAACCTCACCCCGCTTAACACCTAACATATACCCATTGTTCCTTCACTCCCCTGCCGGCCTGTATAAGCTATGAGGTGCCCAAGTCAAAGTTTACACATGGCCCAGAATTATCGCATGAATTGAGTCACCTGCACCTAAAAGTACTGGGAAATTTCTGTATGGCATGATGGAGTGAAGGGAAGCTGAGAAAGTGTAGGTTTTTCACCTTGCATACAGTTGCTGCCTTGTTCTATTTTCATTTTAAACTACCAAGGGCAACAAAGAAAGATCAAGTGATCCACATGGGCTTTGGACTGCATGCGCAATCTGGCTTGTCAGCACAAAAGTTTTCCTTTTCTTTCAGACAC